GGCTCCATAGCAGCAAGGACCTATCATGACATCAAGCTCTATTACTGCCTGCTGCCCACTTGTTAGTTGAAGGATTTATGGGCCCAGTGTCAGTCGCAGCCCCAGCCTACTTTTATTAACAATAAAATTTCGGTGGTTTGAAATTGTTGAGAAAATAAAAAGATGGCGGGTCCTACCAGTAAAATATTATTAGTGGCGGGTCCCATCAATAATATTTTATTAGTGCATAATATTTTCTTAAACACTATAAATAAGCCCAAAACTCTTAAGGAAAAACTCATCCCAAAAACAACTCCTCTCATAGAAGAGTAAGAGAGAAACATAGAGAAAGTTTGTGAGAGTTCTTGGAGTGTATCTTAATCAAGAGAGAGTGTTTTCTTTGATCAAATTCTTTTGGAATATAAAAGAACTGGACGTCGTCGTTGCACCGTGAAATAGCTCCAAAAGAGTGAACCACGTATATCTGAGTACTGTGATTGATTTTGTGCCTTTATTTTGTATATTAAGTCTCCGTTCGAGGCATTCTTATTGGTGTGTATCTTAACGACTGGTATCAGAGCCTGATTTAGAGTATATATATCTACTTATTGTATGCTCTGTGGCTGCCACTGATCCCCCTGCCACTAAAAGTGGATCCTCCATATTAGAAAATAAGTTAGGTTATTATTTACTCTTTTAATGCACTGAACACTTTTCATGAATACGATACTATTCACGAGTACGGTACTATTTACAAGTACCGTTAATATTCACAAATACGGTTCGGAAAAGGCGCAATCTTTCGCCATGGGATCTACAGTTGAAGACAACGGGCTTCGATTTGAGAAATTTGGAGGCCAAAATTTCAGGTATTGGAGGATGCAAATAGAAGACTATTTGTACCAGAAGGATCTCTTCCTATCCCTCCAAGGAAAGGTGGGGAAACCTGAGAAAATGGATGATGATAAGTGGAATGTGGTTGATCGTAAAGCACTTGCCACCACCATCAGGCTCAACCTTCACCAGTATGTAACTTACAATGTCTTGCATGCGACCACTACCAAGGAGTTGATGGAGGCCTTGGAGGCGCTGTATGAGAAGCCGCATGCTTTAAATAAGATGTACCTAATGAAGAAGTTGTTCAATCTAAAGATGCAGCAAGGAGCTCGCGTGGTTGACTTCATGAACGAATTTCAGGCTGTGGTGCAACAGCTTACTGCAGTAGATCTCAAGTTCGACAATGCGATCCAAGCTCTTCTGCTAGTTTCTTGTCTACCAGATTCATGGGATAATATGGTGATCGCGATGAGTAACGCCAATGGTAATGATAAGATGAAGCTCGACACAGTGATTGGGGTAATTCTGGATGAAGAATCACACCACAAAGTCTCAGGAGCCGAGGCCTCTAGTAGTGGGAGTGCTCTGCATGTCGAGGCATAAGGGTGTGTGCAAAAGAAGGATAGGGGACGATGAGACCAATCAAAATCCAGAGGGAAATCTAAAGGGCCAAACCCGAATGGTTACGGTAAAGAAAAGTGCTTCAAATGCGGAAAAAATGTCACTTTACACAGGACTGCAGAGTTTCTGTTCCAGCATCAGCAGGGGATGATTGGATTGACGGTGCAGCCAATCTCATGCACGAGACGGATTCGGATGTGCTTCTCCTATCCTTAGAAGACAAAAGCGATGCGTGGATCATCGACTCTAGCGCATCTTTTCATGCAACCTCACAACAAAAGTTGCTTTTATCGTTTGTAAAAAAGGACTTGGGGACAATCTATCTTGGCGACGATCAATCTTGTAAGGTTTCCGGGAAGGAAAATTGTACCCTCAAGATGAAGGGCGGGACCACCTTGACATTGAACGACGTTCGGATGTACCGATCTCAAGCGAAATCTTATATCAATCGGGCAACTGACTGATTCCGGTTTCAGAGTATCCTTCGAGCAGAGAAATTGGAAGGTGTCCAAGTATGCCTTGGTGGTGGCACACGGCAAACATGAGAGGTCTCTCTACATCGCTAATGGGAAGATCGACCGTTTGCTTGTCACAGGATAAGTATCATCATTATCATCCGTCGACTGCATGACTTGACATCGACGACTTGACCACATAAGCGAGAAGGGGATGCAGATTATGGTCATGGGAGAGAGGCTTTCGGATCTGAACAAGATCGATTTGACTTTCTGTGAGGACTGCATCCTAGGCAAACAGAAAAAGATTAGCTTCAACAAGACCGGACCAGCTTCAAAACTGCGAAAATTAGAGTTGGTATACACCGACGTGTGGGGACCTACGCAAGTCCCATCTGTTGGCAACTCTCTTTACTTTGTCACTTTTATTGATGATGCTACTAGAAAATTATGGGTGTTCTTTTTGAAGCACAATTCGGATGTTTTCATCATCTTCAAAAAATGGCTTGCCTGTGTGAAGAACGAAACAGACAATAAGCTAAAATGCCTAAAGTCTGATAATGGAGGTGAGTATTACAACGAGGAGTTCGAGAACTTCTGCTCGTCCCATGGGATTAGGAGACTGAAGACCGTCCCAGGCACACCTTAACGCAACAGAGTGACGGAACGTATGAATCGTACTATCTTGAAACGCGCCAGAAGTATGAGGATCCATTCCGGATTGCCCAGGAGTTTTTGGGCCGAACCTGTCAATACTGCTGCATACTTAATCAACCGCGGGCCATCCGTGGCTCTCAGTTATGGGATACCTAAGGAAGCTTGGACCGGAAAGAAGCTCGGGGCAAGTGAGAGTCTGCCATGGAGGAAGAAATAAAATCCTTGATGAAGAATAGGACTTGGAAGCTCGTAAAGCTTCCAAGAGGGAAGAATGCTCTTCATAATCGGTGGATTGGGTCAAGGATGAAGCCGATGGATGGAGACGCTACAAGGCGAGGCTTGTTGTGAAGGGCTATGAGCAGAAAGCAGGGATAAACTATTCTGATGTTTTCGTTCCCGTCGTCAAGTTGACCACAATACAGATTGTGCTGAGCATTGTGGCAGTTTGAGATCTCCATCTAGAGCAAATGGATATGAAGACGACATTCCTTCATGGAGATTTGGAGGAAGAGATCTATATGCAACAATCAGTGGGCTTCGAGGAACGACGCAGGGAGGGCCTCGTGTGTCGCCTGCGCAAGAGCTTGTATGTCCTGAAGCAAGCTCCGTGACAGTGGTACATGAAGTTTGAGAACTTTATGGAAAACGGTTTTCTCAAATGCGACAAGACCACTGCTGCTTCATTAAGAGATATGGCAAATCTATGTGATACTCTTGATTCATGTTGATGACATGCTGATTGTCGGGCCCGACTTGGCCCACATTGAATAACTCAAGGGGTGTTTCTCTGAATGCTTCAAGATGAAGGATCTGGATCCAGCAAATCAGAATTTAGGATGAGGATCATCAGATACGGATCAACACGAAGGCTAAGATTGTTTCAGAAGGCCTATATTAAGAAGATTCTTAAAAAGTTTGGCATGAAGAAAGCTAAACCGGTGGGCTCACCGTTTGTAAGCCATTTCAAGCTATCGAAAAACCCAACACTAGAGACTGCTAAAGAGCATGAGTTCATGGCCAACATACCATACGCATCTGCCGTCGGGAAATTGATGTATGCGATTGGTGTGCATGAGAGGTCAGATATTGCATAAGGAGTGGGAGTTGTGAGCCGCTTCATGAGCAATCCAGGGAAACAACACTGAGGTGCAATCAAGTGACTTTTACGCTACTTGAGAAGCTCATTCGACTGTTGTCTTGAGTATGACAGGACAGATTTGCAGCGAGAGGGATTTTGTGATGCAGACTATACCGGGGACAGAGACTCGAGAACGAGTACGCGCGGCTACATTTCATCTTGGGTGGTGGAGCGATAAGTTGAAGATCCAAACTACAAGATACTGTGGCTTTGTCGACAACCAAAACGGAGTTCAAGTTTGCAGCAGAAGCAGCAAATGAGTTGCTATGGTTAAAAGTTTTTTTTCTCGAGCTTGGGGTAAGCTTTGAAAAATACTTCATCCATCGCGACAGTCAGAGCGTCATTCACTTGTCAGAGAACGACTCATTCCATGCTCGGACCAAACATATTGACGTGAAGCACCATGCCATACAGTGATGGCAAAGCAGGAACGAGTTCAAGCTTGTGAAGATTGATACGAGGTACAATCCAGCCGATATGCTGACCAAGCCAGTTCCGCTCGAGAAGGTGTGTGCAGCCTCATATGGCCTCCGTTGAAAATATTGAAGGCAGTGCAAGACGTCAAAGATACAAGATATCCGAATGATGTAACAAAAAATGATGTGAAGATATGATTGATATTCAATCAAATCTTCAA